CTCGGTAGTGGGGCAGAATGGAATGACAATCATACAGCTCCGAATATTACGTATCCGACTAATCCTTAAAATACAATGGCGGCCTGCAAACGCAAGTGCCTAATAAAACAAAAGGGGCGTGCATTCGTGTGTGTAAATGAATTATTGACTTATTCTATGTCAATAATTCAGAGCACTTTCTGTTATTGTCATTAACCGCGTGTTACTGATCTTGACTGCTAATCAACACAGAGCTTTCTAATAACGAGACTTCATGCGGTATTGAGTACTAACAACTGCTGTTACGCGCTAGTATGATACGCTCTTGTTTTACACTCTGAACTCGATGTTGATTTTCGAGTGGCGACAGTAGATGCATTTGTATTCTGCACTCCATGAGATATGATGTCTCGCGTACCGCAAGAAAGTCCGAGAGATGGCAACGTTACGGTAAACAAAACAAAAGCGCAAAATATGTAATTGTGCATGAACATTTGGGAGTACGAAGGTCTACGGCGCTTTTAATCGTTACTAACTCTAGAACTAATTGCTGTTAACTCATGCAATAACGGTAGGCTGTCATGAAAGTGGTGAAGAACACTAGGAAAACTGCTCGATACATAATTACTTTAACAAATGCAACATTAAGGTGCTGTGTTGACGAGCCAGTGTTAGCACGACACAGTGTTATAACTGGATGCGAGCATTAACAGCTGCTACATCCACAGGCTAGGTCGTTTAACAGCGATGCAAGCGATTAAAAAAGCAATGGCAAAACATTAAGGATGCTGTGTTGAGAATGCAACATTAAGCTGATCAATATTAGCAGTGGCATCATCAACTATGTCTACCATAAGATATGCTAAGCAATACTAGTCACATATCTAAATGCAAGTTGTTACTCAAAATCGATCTAAAGAAATTATATAAAATTAATTCAAATTAATTATCGGCAATGCTGCAGATGCTTAAACATCTGAACGAGGGCAAGGCGCTCTGGCAGATGCGATGTCCAGATTCTGTCGAGCGTCCCAAAAAGGCTTCTTGAGATTTCTTGGAGGGCTGGCGGGGTCGCTGGGCAGCGGGTCCATCTGTGAGTCGGATTGGGCAGAGGCGTATATGCGCTCTACAGCAGATCCTGAAAAAAGACAGCAGCAGAATGTGCAAAATGTGAGGTGTGCCAAGCGCAGTCATCACTATATATGTGTCATTACAGTCAGCATGGTTTTTTTTATTGTTATTTATTATTTTATAAGCTACCGTATTGTTACACTTACAAAGGCTATGCTTGATATAAATCAAAACAGCTTCACATGTCCACTACTATTATAAGCTATACAGATAGTTGGCGCAACACGGTCCAAATCAAATCGGTCAGTGGTCATTGCCAGTGTCAGCGTCGGTGACTGTGAGTGTGTACCTTGATGTAAGTGAGGCGCCGCGGATCTGCGCACGGGAACAGATTGGCTGAACTGCTCCGAGAATCATGCTCCAAGCTCGTCGCGTCAGCTTCGCGTCTGACTTGCTGGGCTGCTTGCTGCGCCTGCGCCGCCGGCCGCTCTCCGCTCGCCGGACTCGCCGCCGTGCTGCTTACATCCTGTAACAGCCAAGTAGATGCGCAATCACATATTTGATAGCAATCTGCTGGTTCTGGCCATGCAAATTACGTAGTGTGAGGTCCACTGTAGTGACCAAGAGTTTTCTTTAGGGGGGGCCGACACATGCCCCACGGAAAAAATTTTGATTATGAGATGGGCAATTTCCTGGAATTCTGAGGGTCCAAAAATGACAATAAATTGACCGTAAAAAATAACAATAATTAAAAAAAAAAAAAAAAATAATTTTGATCACAGTGAAATTCGTAGGTTTCATACAAACTAGTGGTGCAAAAAGGAATAAAATTCGTATAAAATACATATAAATCCGTAGTGGTGTGGCATCCTCTAGTAACGCGGCAAGGCAAACAAATCCAGCAGTCAACACACCACAAACACTGGTACGTCGGCGAGATGCTTCGCTGCGTAGATATGAAATTCAGAGCTAATACCTTGTTACTAAAAAGTTGTTGTGAAGAAGAGGCACTGGACAGTCCTCTAGCGGGGGCAGCAGCGTCTACTGAGTTACCTGGCATTTTTCTGTTATTCAAAAGTTCATCGTGTTTATGTCGTGTGCAGTGTGTTTGTCTGTGTGTCTGTACGGCGTGTTCTGTTTGTCTCTCTCTCCTCTCTCGTATGCTCTCTGTGTTTCTCCGCTCTTCGGTGGCTGCTCGTGCTGCTCTCACTCATCTCTCATCTCCTCTCTCCTCTCTCTCTCTCTCCTCCTCTCTCTGTTCTCTGTTGCTCTCATCTTCGGCTCTCACACTGCTCTGTTTTAATATTTCGGATCTCATTGTTACCACTCTCACAGTACGTTGACCCCATATCATCTTATCAAAAACGAATATTATGCTGGTTATTATGGTAAAGGCAATCGTCAGGAAAGCAAAATGAAAACTGCAGCAGCGTTGTGTGTCTAGCCATACATGCTATGTGTGCACGTCTGCATGTGTGCTATACGTGTGTACACCACCTAGCTAATAATGAGCATTACAATACGCGATCGCTGTTAAAAGACATGCGCTAGCCTTACCTCGTGCGAACGCTTGCGTGAGGACTATCTGTGCTGCGGCGAGGCGAACGCCGCACTTCTTCGTGCTTTCACCGCGATACGCCGACTTCAGCGGGCCTGCAGGAGGCTCCCATCCGGAAGTGCTTCTCCGTCAGCCCTCCTTAACGATGCTTCCGCAGCATCTGCCACCAGCCCTGTTACCGTGGCAAATGTGCGAATAGATCATCGTTAAACTGAATTACAGCTTGCTAGATATTTCCCACGATCTATCTATCTATCTATGTTTCTACTGTGGGAGTGGGAATCAGTGTTCTTACTCGTTATTACTGAGGACCGCCCTGCGCACTTTAGGGTCTAGCATTTACACCTTTGTGACGCTTTATTGGTCACACTGGTTACGAAATACTGAAGATAAACACCTTTCCTTACTTACCCAATTTACAGGCTAGTACTCTTACAAGATTGGAAGATTGTGCTTCACTTTGGGCAACACACAGCATGTACGCGTTCACGGTAAAGTTTATTACACCATATATATGTTTTTTCTTCATACTACTGCCTGGCTAACACCTACTACTTTACATGACACCGTAGGTGATCGGCAAGATTCGACCCTCCTCTGGCCACGCCGCGGTCACTCACCGGCTAGCTTCTCCCCCTCGGAGCCTCCAAGGGCGTTTCTTCGGAGCTCATGCATCTGGCCCAGCGCGTCCGAACGTCCGCACGCAGCTGCAATATGTGCAATTCATCGCCGGCCAGCTCATCCAGCGTGTAGCGGTACCTGGAGGTCACACAAGTCATCGCAGGTCCAACGAGACGTACAAGAACATTGAACAAGGTTTATATAACGAACACCCAAGCCATATCGTCCGGCGATCTAGCGTAGGCCTTACGATTCCCGACGTGTGTGAGGACTGACTGCACTGCATAACCCACCATCTACTCCACCACCTCAGTAGACTCGCTTCGATGGCTAGACGCTGACGACCTAAAAACGTATCGGCAAACTACTAGTTCGTGCTCGAGGTCTCTTTCTTTTAATTTACTAGATTTCTTCTAACACTTGTAATCGGCTGAAAGACATGCAGCGCTTTCGGTGGCACGAGGCGGTGGAAAGGAAACCAGAGGAAGACGGAGGAGGAGGAAGGAGAAGGGGAGGAGGAGGAGATACGAAGAGGAGGAAGAAGAGGTATGATCACCCACCCGCCTGAGGCAGTAAGCTTTGTCGGGAGGCAGTAACCACTAGCTTGTCCACGTGAATGCAGGCAGAGCGAGATCTCTCTAAAACACGCGAGAGATTAACGAATCGATCATTCGCGTAAAAACATCACGTGTTATGATCGAGGGAATAATGAATCGACCCATCACCTCATTATACCATGCCTGCACAATGAAACGAATGATCGGATCCCCCAATTCCCAAGAAGGGCAAACAACCCGCATTTCAGCAGCAGCTTAAGTTGGAGGGGGTAGTATAGTATCCTAAGTTAGTACTAGTATATATCTATATAGTATACAAGTTGTAGACTTTTCCTGTCTGCACCGCGCGCTAGCCCCGCCCCCCCCCCCCCCGCGTTCGTCGTGTCGTTGTTTGCTGTCGGGCTGATATGAAGCTAGAGATAACTACGCAGACCTAGAGGAAAAACTGAGAAGATATATACAGAATGCTTCTCTAACCAGGCTTCAGGCGGCCCGCAAGACAGAACCGGCCGTAATGCCGCATGTGGCCCGCGGGCCGCAGTTTGCTCCACCAGCTGAGATAGATAAGATGATATATATATATATATATATATATATATATATGATATAAATAGATAGGCAGATAGATTAGATGGATAGATAGATACATAAATAGATACATAGATAGAAAGATACATATATAGATATATAAAATTATATTTTTTTGGGTATTTCTTTTTCAACCAAGTGGTCACCAATGAGCGCTTCATTTCCGCAGGCAATGCCAGGTGTCCTGCTAGTGTATATATATATATATATATATTATATATATATAGATATATACTAGTACTAACTAGTGTTAGCTGTACGCATCGCCATCTATTGACGAATAGAATTTTTTGTCAATGTTTAACTTTTAAACTTTTTGAAATTTTTCTCCATCTTTCAGACATGCTGATTCTGTATATATATCTTCAGTTTTCCTCTAGGCTGCGTAGTTCTCTAGTTATACAGCACGACAGCAACAACGACACGACGAACGCGGGGGGGGGGATAGCGGCGAGTGCAGACAGACAAAGTCTACAACTTTATATATATAGATATATACTAGTACTAACTAGGATACTATACTACCCCCTCAACTTAAGTGCCTGCTGAAATGCTGGGTTGTGCTTCATTGGGAATGGGGGATTCGATCATTCGTTTCATTCTGAGGCATGGTATTAATGAGGTGATGGTCGATTCATTATTCCCTCATCCTAACACGTGATGTTTTTACGACGATGATCGATTCGTTAATCTCTCGTGTTTTAGAGGATCTCGTCTGCCTGTATCACGTGGACAAGCTGTGTTACTGCTCCCCGACAAAGTACTGCCTCAGGTGGGTGATCATACCTCTTCTTCCTCCTCTTCGTTCTCCTCCTCCTCCCCCCTTCTCCTCCTCCTCCTCCTCTTCCTCTGGTTTCCTTTCCCACCGCCTCGTGCCACCGAAGCTGCTGTCTTTCAGCATTACAGTGTTAGAAGAAACTAGTAAATTAAAAGAAAAGAGACCTCGAGACGAAACTAGTAGTTTGCCGATACGTTTATAGCTTCGTCAGCGTCTAGCCCATCGAAGCGGTCTACGAGGTGGTGGAGTAGATGGTGGGGTAGTGCAGTGGCAGTCAGTCCCTCACACACGTCGGGATCATAGGCGTAACCCGTAGATCGCGGACGTATGGCTTGGGCGTTGTATAACTTGTTCAATGTTCTTGACGTCTCGTTGACCCTGCGATGACCTTGTCTGACCTCCAGGTACCGCTACACGCTGGACGAGCTGCCGGCGATGATGCACAGATTGAGGCTGCGTGCGGAGTCGTTCGACCGCTGGGCAGTGCAGGTCAAGAACGCCCTGGAGGCTCCCGAGGGGGAGAAGCTAGGTGAGTGACCGCGGCGTGCCAGAGGAGGGTATGAATTTGCCGAACCTGTGTCTGTAAAGTAGTAGGTGTAGCAAGGCAGTAGTATGAAGTAAACATATATATGTGTATATAACTTAGTGAACGTACATGCTGTTGTTTGCCAAAGTGAAGCAAATTTCAATCTTGAAGAGTACTAGGTAAATTGTAAGTAAGGAAAGGTGTTTATCTTCCAGTAATTTCGTAACCAGTGTGACCAATAAAGGTCAAAAGGTGTAAATGTAAGACCTAGTGTCAGCAGGGGTCCTCAGATAATAACGAGTAAGAACACTGATTCCACACTCCCACAGTAGAAACATAGATAGATAGATAGATCGGGGAAATATCTAGCAAGCTCGTAATCGTTAACGATGATCTATCGCACGTTGCCACGGTAACAGGACTGGTGGAGATGCGGGAGCTCGTTAAGGAGGCTGAGGAGAAGCACTTCCCGGACGGAGAGCTCCTGCAGGCGCTGAAGTCGGCGATCGCGGAGAGCGAGAAGTGCGGGTCGGTCGCGCAGCAGATAGTCTCACGCAAGGTCCGCACGAGGTAAGCTAGCGCATGCAGCGATCGCGTTGTAATGCTCATTATTAGCAGGTGGTGTACACACGTATACACACATGCAGACGTGCACACATGCATGTATGCACACCACAACGTGCTGCAGTTTTCATTTGTTTCCTGGACGATTGCCTTTACCATAAACCAGCAATTGATATAGTGAGAGTGGTAACAATGAGATCGAAAGTATTAAGAAGAGCAGGAGAGCGAGAGAGAGCAACAGAGAAAGAGAGAGAGAGAGAGCGAGAGCGAGAGCGAGAGCGAGAGCGAGAGCGAGAAACACAGAGAGAACAGAGAGAGAGAGAGAGACAAACAGACACGCGTACAGACACACAGACAAACACACTGACAGACAGAAACACGTGCAACTTTAATAACAGAAAAATAAAGGTAACTCAGTAGAGCTGTGCCCCGTAGAGGCTGTCCAGGCCTCTTCTTCACACACAACTTTAGTAACAGAGTATAGTCTGAATTCTATCTACGCAGCGACATCTCGCGACGTGTGTTTGTGTGTGACTGTGGGATTTGTTGGTGCGCGTTACAGAGATGCCAACCACTACGATTTATATGTATTTTATACGAATTTCTATTCCTTTTGCACCACTAGTTTGTATGAAACTACGAATTTCACTGTGATCAAAATATTTTTTTTATTTTTTTATTATTGTTATTTTTTGTCAATTTATTGTCATTTTTGACCCTCAGAATGCAGGAAATTGCATCTCATAATCAAAATTTTTTCCGGGGGGCATGTCGGACCCCCCCTAGAAAACTCTGGTCACTACGTGACCCTCGAACTACTAATTTGATGGCCAGAAACCACAGATTGCTTCAAATATGTGTTGGCATCTCTGGCGTTACAGGAGTAAGCAGGCGGCGGCGGTGAGCGAGAGCGGCGGCGGCGGCAGCAGCAGCAGCAGCAAGCAGGACGCGAAGCTGACGCTGCACGAGCTGGAGCTGTTCTCGGAGCAGATCAGCAATCTTCCGTGCGAGATCCGCGGCGCCTCACTCATCAAGGTACACACTACAGTCACCGACGCTGACACTGGCAATGACCCTGACCGATTTGATTTGACCGTGTTGCGCATATCTGTATAGTATAATAGTAGTGACCAGTGAGCTGTTTTGATTTATTCAAGCATAGCCTTTGTAAGTGTAACAATAGGTGTTTAAAATAATAAATAACAATAAAAAAAAACGATGTGAGTGTAATGACACATATATAGTGATGACTGCGCTTGGCACCTCACATTTTTCACATCTCTGCTGTCTTTTTTCAGGATCTGCTGGAGCGCATATACGCCTTCCAATCCGACTCACAGATGGCGCTGCAAGCCGACCCGCCCAGCTCAGAAAATCTCAAGAAGCTTTTGGACGTCGGACAGAATCTGGACATCGATCTGCCAGAGCTGCCTGCCCTCGTTCAGGTGATCTCAGCATTCCGATAATTAATTTGATTAATTTATATAATTTTTAATCGATTTGAGTTAACAATTTGATAATATGTTGGAGTATTGCTAGTATTTCATGGGTGATGATGCACTGCTAATATTGCATCGTTAATGTTGCATTCTCAACACAGCATCCTTAATGTTGCATTGCTAATGTGCATCGTTAACGCTACCCTGTGGATGTAGCATCGTTAATGTAGCATCGTTAACACTGTGTCGTTAACACTGTGTCGTCAACACAGCATCCTTAATGTTGCATTGTTAAAGTAATTATTGCGAGAGTTTTCCAGTGTTTTCACCACTTTCATGACACCTACCGTTATTGCTTGAGTAACAGCAATTGTCTAGAGTAACGATAAAATGCCGTAGAACCTTCGTATTCACCAAATCATGCACAATTACAATTTTGCGTTTTGTTTTGTTTACCGTAACGTTGCCATCTCTCGGACTTTCTTGCGGTAGCCGCGAGACATCTATCAGGGTGCAGTAATGCATACTGTCGCACTGTAAAAATCAGGTCAGAGTGTAAACACAGAGGTTCATACTAGCGTAACAGCAGTGTAGTACTAATACCGCATGAAGTCTGTTATTAGAAAAGCTTGTGGATTAGCAGTCAGATAGTAACACGGTAATGACAATGACAGAAAGTGCTCTGAATTATTGACATAGAAAGTCAATAATATTTACCACACAGAATTGCACGCCCTTTTGTTTTAATTATGCACTTGGTTTGAAGGCATTTTTAGATAGTCGGCATACGATAATATTCGGAGCTGGTATGATGTGGTCAATTCCATTTTTCTATGCTTTAACTGCATAAAATCTTAGTGTTTTTAATGTTGGTCTAATCAGTGATGTTTCCGCTGTCAGGTGAGACTAAATTCAGCTATATTTTTTTCGGATTGAGTGTTTCTGAGCAAAAATCTCGCAATACTTCTTTTAATGTGCATCGTTAACACTGTGTCGTCAATGCAGCATCTTTAATGTTGCATTGTTAATGGGCATCGTTAACGCTACCTTGTGAATTTAGTGTCATTAATGCATCGTTATCATCGCCTCATCCATGCAGCATCGTTAGCGTCGCATCGTCAGTGTAATTAACTGACGTCCCTCTTCCCCCCCTTGCAGCACATGCACCGCGCGCACTGGCTGGACGAGGTTAACGTGACAATGGCGGACCGCGGCGGCGGCGGCGGCGGAGGTGGAGGGGTCGGCATGGACGCGTTGCGCCACCTGCTGGAGGCCGGCGTGACGCTGGCGCCGCACCCAGCCGTCGAGCGAACGATGGCGCACCTACAGGAGCTGCTAACGCTAAGCGAACGCTGGGAGGAGAAGGCGCGCATATGTCTGCAGGCCAGGTAGCGCCCTCTAGCATCAGTAGCATCGCGCGTCTGTGTGTTCACGGGTCGGGGTAGCGCCCTCTAGTGGTCGTAGCATCGCGTGTCTGTATTCGCGGGTCAGGTAGCGCCCTCTAGCATCTGTAGCGTCGCGCATCTGTGTGTTTGCGGGTCAGGTAGCGCCCTCTAGCGGCTGTAGCGTCACGCGTCTGTGGGTCGGGTAGTGCCCTTTAGTGGTTGCCGCACCATGGGTCTTTGTACCAATGGGTCACGTTGTGCTTCCGCCAATATTACTATTCTTATGTTATGATAATTTCTCTGCTATAATGCACTTGTGTTTACGTGCATGCACGTCTGTCGGCCACACACCGAATCAGATCGGCTTATCAGGTCATTGCCTGAAGATTTTACTCACCGGGTAACGCGATATATAGATATTTCATGTAAGCACCCTTGCCTAGTTACGTAATACAGAAACATTGCATGTAAGCATGTTGCGTTGCAGGCCACGGCATGTCATGGCAACGCTGGAGGCCATCATCCACGAATCGAGAGGCATCTCCGTCTACCTGCCAAACATATCCGCTTTACGGGACGCTCTGAAGAAGGCCAAGGACTGGACGGCGAAAGTAGAAGCGATCCAGGTGATTGTAATCGCTGCTCTATCATATAAACGCATAGTTTGAAGTGCTCAGGGTTTAAAACGTGTTCGTGCATTGTCGCAGTGTCATATAGCGCTTTCATGTGGATTAGTATCTCTACATTATGAGGGCAGAAATTGTCCTTAGACACTGAATCGTGGTTACTGAGTCAACACTTCCCCACATTGCAAGGGCAGAAAATATCCGAAAACATTCAATCCTTGCTACTTGTAATGGGTAAATGGGTTGGGTGGACGGACCATCGGTTGATCGGACAGATAGACCGATAGATAGATAGATGTGTATCACGGATCGTTGTCGTAACCTTCCGCTCCGGCTCTCTCGTTCGCAGCGAACAAAAGAGAAGCGGAGAAGAAAGTCAAAGTCGGCGACAAGAGGAAGCTGGTGAAGGAGAGAAGGAAGCCGAGGAAGGTTGGCGGCGGAGAGAGGGAGGGCGACACGGCCATGAAGCTGGGGAGCAAGGAGGATGACGACAATGTGTGCGCGGCCGAAACCTGCTTCAAACCGACGGGTGCGTACTGTGACTTTGAATGTATGCGGTGTGCCTACCTGCTCATATACTCAACCCTGACCCTGACCCTGATCCTGATCTTGACCCTAACCCCAACCGTAACCCTGATCTTGACCCTAACCGTAACCCTGATCCTGACCCATGGCATAACTCTGATCCTGATCCAAGGCATAACCCAGACCGTAACCCTAAATTTAGCCTTGACACAAACCCTAACCCTAACCCTAACCCTAACCCTTTCTGTATTTATTATTATTATTATTATAGTCTCCTCGGGAAGTTGTTATTATTCCTTTCTGTAGCTCATACCAGACAGAGGTCACCACTCCTCTCTGTTCGCCAACAGCGCTATATAGCTATAGCGAATGGCACTGAATGGCACTGAGGGTGGTCCCAGCCAGAGTTTGTTTTTGCGCCCTCAGTGGTTCTTTTACGTCCCCATTGGCCTTTCGTATTACTGGAGACGGGACCGCCATTTTACGTGGTTATCCGAGCCACAGGAGATTCACAGTCTCCAATGTTGAGAGCCAGGTTTTTACACCTTAAGAAAATTTACTGCCCCGGCCAGGGATTGAACTCACAGCCTTCAGTCGACAGTATACGTGGCCTAACCACTAGGCCACAAAGGCATCTCTTCGTAAACAGTGGCCCTAACACTAACCTTGACTTTACCCTTGACCCAAACGCTAACCCTAACCCTAACCCTGACCCTAACCCTAACCCTAACCCTAACCCTAACCCTTCAGTTATACAACATTATCGTCATCGCTTCATCAGCGTGCCTTCACTGTATCATCACCCTATTGTCACTGCGTCTCGATCGTCACCGTGTCACCACCGTCACCGCGTCGTCACCTCGTGTTACAGGCGAGCACGTAGACTGGGTGCAGTGTGACGGCGGCTGCGACGACTGGTTCCACTACCTCTGCGTCGGCATCAGCGACGCCGACATGGACGACTCCTCCGACTACATCTGCTACCGATGCTCGCACAAAGGTGGCGCCGCCGTGAAAGTGGAGCCGCCAGAGGGCGCCGACCCCGAGGACACGATCGTCTCCGTCGTGTCGACGCCCGTCGACCGCAGCCCCCAGGAGGCGCTGGCGGCGGGCGCGATGTAATGTGTGCATCCCCCGTGTGTGCGTCTGCGTTGCAGCATGGAGGAGGGATTGGCAGAGGAAGCCCCGCACGCGGCGATGCCCGTCGCCGGGGAAGTCGTCATCGAGTCGTCATCCTCAGCATCCGATCCCCTACCTCCACCCCCGCAGCCTCCGCAGCCACCTCAGCAGCATCAGCAGTACGTCGTGCCGTCGCCACTTCCCGCCGCGTCCGACACGCACGCCGACGCCGACAGCTTACAGCAGCACCTGCTCGCGAAGACTGCGCTGCTCGTGGCGACCTCTGGCGGCGGCAGCGAGCACGCGTACTCGACGGCGTCGAAGGCGGCAGCGGGTGAGTTTGCGGGCGGTTGCCGCGGAGACGGTTCACGAGGCGGTGCGGTGATGCGCGCTCCGACTCGGCACACGGACTCTGTTTTCAGCACGTCTTTCTTATCGTTACTGTCTTGTTTGATACTCATGACTGCTAATAATTAATTAAGTAATTAATTATTATTTAAGAATTGATAATAATAATTAATAATTCGAAAAATTGTTACGAGTGAATAATAATAATAGAGAGTAAAAAAAAACCTGCCGATGTTCTAAAGAGTTGTTGTTATCATAGCGGGATGCTGTGGGAGCAATAGTGGTGCTATGCATGCCTGAATACACTCGCCTCTATACGTGCGTAGCTTATCGATATTTCCTGAGGTTCTTCTACCATTCTCACGTCGTTCACGTTCTCCTCCAGGTCCCTCTCCCAGGAAACATGCTCGCAAGTCGCCGCTCGTGCCACGACAGCTGGAGGCCCCCACCCTGGAGCTGTCGCCGGGTGGACGAGCCCAACTCGAGGGGCTCATGATGGAAGGTGAGCGTCCCATTACACACGGGGGAGGGGTGTTTGGGGTTCGGAGCAAAGGGGCGCCTTTAAAAATTTATGTGATGTGGTTGTTTGCGGCGAGTAATTTAAACATATTTCTACTGATTCGGTAAGCGAGTACGCTCTCATTCCATCGTTACTCGTAAATCGTCGAAACATTCAAACGTGCAGACGTTTTCCAATCGTCGATCGATCGATCGCAGATTATAATGATCTTATCGCAATCTTATTCAAATTTACCGCCATCGGAGAGTTATAGACGATTATCCTCAAGTTATGATAGAGGTCGCGCAAACGTGCGCCACTCTGCCCACTCGCGCCACCAAGCGAGACCCACGCGTGTAAGTGACCCTCCTTGTCTCGTGTCTCGTGTCTCAGGCGACCTGCTGGAAGTCTCGCTAGACGAAACGCAGCACATCTGGCGCATCCTGCAGGCGTGCAAGCCCAAGGACGAGGTCAAGTTCATGGAGTTCGACGTGAGTAGTGTTGTTAAGACTAGTAGTGTTTGTTTTAGACGACCGGGAGGGAGGGACTGGGGCACTGGGGGAGGGGTCCTGGATCTCCTGTGTGTCTCTTGTCTCCATTTCTAGCTCACCTTGACATCGTCAAGTTGAGCTATTGCCATGGGTCGTCGTCCGTCGTACGTCCGTCCGTCAACATTTGGTTTCGGTCAACGATAACTCAGGAACCGTTTGACCCACATGTTTGAAATTGGGTACAGTTGTTACTGCTATGCTCCCATATGGAACGTCCTATTTTGAAGCACGCCAGTCAACGTACTTTCGAGCCACGGCAATTTGTTGGCTAAAATGGGAATTGTCATTAGTCAGTTCAGGTTCAACGGATGATGCTCATTTTTGGTATGTGAATGAATAAGGGTTAGGGGTTTTGATATTTAAAAATAAAAATGCAAATTAGGTAGGGTTTGGCAATTATATAGCACATTATATAAACACAAACAGTCTGTGGTGTCACACTCGTCTGGTTCGTTTTACAAGATTTCATTGACAATATCTTTAATGCAAAATTGGTATTTCCTCTCCAC